CCTCTCCCCTCTCCCCTCCTCCTCTCCCCTCTCCTTCTCTTCCCGTCCCTTCTCTTCTCTTCTCTTCTCTTATTAGAAGAGACTCACTCTGTCCCCCTGGTAGAGTGCTGTGGTGTCAACATAGCCCACAGCAACCTCAAACTCTTGGGATCAAATGATCCTCATGCCTCAGCTTCCCAAGTAGCTGGGACTACAGGCACATGCCATAGTACCCAGCCAATTTTTCTATTTTTGGGTAGAGATGAGGTCTCACTCTTACTCAGGCTGGTCTCGAACTCCTGAGCTCAAGCCATCCATCAGCCTTGGCATCCCAGAGTGCCAGGATTACAGGTGTGAGCCACCATGATCAGCCTTTCAGCACTTTTCAAAATGCCTCCAAATCCACTCTCCCACCAAATAGACCTTCCAACTTAGCACAGCTTTCCCAGGGCATTGACCAATGCATTTGATGGTCTAAATGTGTTTGCTATCTGGTCAGTCTATTAAAATTACTTATGTCCTTCATGGATATTTCATATGGCCTCTCCTAAACACTTTATAAACTCTAGGTCAGTGCCATCATACTATTCTATGTAACTAATTATGAGCATAGAGTTAAATACTCAGAAAAAAATTCAGATCTCTAGAATGAACAAGAAAGGGAAATTGGAAATAGCAATATCACAGAAGAAACCAGTGATCAAATAAAAACCTAAAACGATTTTTTTCTCAATACAGCAGATATTGAAAAGTTTAAACACCCCTTGCATGGAAGTTACTGCATCACGCCTGATCCCTCTGATGTAGAAATCCAGCCCAAGTTTTTACAGGACAAAGATAAAATTGCTGAGGTAACTTAGCTCCCTCTCTATCCTACAGCTTTTGCTTCGAATGTATTACTACTCTTAGGGGCAACTTGTTTCAACAAACTTTATATTTTAAGAAATATTTTTCCTTTGTTTTAAGTACAGTGAGGCAAAGGACAATGATGTATAGAACATCTGATTTTTTGATTTTCATCTCAACTAATAAAAATTATGCCTATCATCCCCAAATATAACAATTCATATTATTTTAGTTAGTCCTTATAAATTGCAAATGAGGTAGGTATTTTCTAGTTATGCTTCTTTTTGTTTCACTAACAAATAACGAACCATTCACTAAAAATGGAGACCTTCTGCTTATTTAGCAAAATTAACAGTCCTCACTTAACACGTTTCAGCGCGATCAGGATTTACTCTGCAAACATCATAATGACAGTGCAACTTATTATAAAAATAGCTCTTTTGTGTAAAGGAGATAGTAAATGAAAAAGAATAAAACAAGACAATACAACAGTTTACCTCAGGACCAAGTAAGTAGTTTTTACTTTGTCCCAACCCTTTAGAAAATCAGGAGTCTCTAGGGCTGTATATATTCCCCCACATTCTTCAAAGTCCGTAAGTTGATCCATAGGCTCAGGACCTCACCTAGCCCTAGGGCCCAGGTGGGACTGTCCAGCAGATGGCCTTCTAGCCACATACAATGAGCCAGTAGCTCAGTACAACTGCCAGGGAAGCCCTCCAGGCTAGATCATCTCTGAGATAGAAAGGTCTAAAGTCTCCTCCTAAAGCAGTGCCCTCTCCTCTCATGGCTGAGGGCACTGGGATTGTGGGAGACAGAGGAGATAAGAGAAGCCTTGGGTGTCACATGATACAGTCAAAAAGCATAGGTTAAATATGCATATGATTTTGGCACCTCTTTCCAAAATCAAGGATTATTTCTACCCATATCCTTGTAAAAATCACAAGCCTCTTTGACCATAAAGTTCTCCATTTCCATGAAGAAACCGGGCATCCGTGCAGGTTTACTTGCCGATTTTCCTCTTCCACCCATCCTCCATCTGAAACCCTATGTGACCCCAGGCTAGTGAGCAGGGGGATGGTGAGCCTCAGTGTGGCAGCTCCTGCAGGCCCTTTTCCATGTGGTTCAGAAGACTACCCGTCACCACCTCCAGGCGGGCCTCCTCTCTCATCTGAGTTAAGGCTCATCAGGTGTGAAAATCCTTGGGTTTGGGGGAGGTGCCCTGGGTCTTTGTGTTCATGACCTGTTATTAGTTCCCAACTGTGACACCAAAGCAACTCTGCACTAGTTCTGTATGCAGGAGCAGTGGCCGGACAACCCAAAAGTGGGGGTCTCGGAAGTGAAAGGGATGGCTGGGTTGAGAGAATCCAAGTTTGTATTAAGGAGACCAATAGGGCCATAGCCAAAAAACAAAGTCCAAAGGGTGCAGACGAGAGTAAAGCAGCGAGGCCTCCACTCAAAGGAGCTGGAAGCCAAACACCATTACATTTTGCTCAGACCTTTCTTCCGCTCATCAGCTTTCATTCGTATTTCTGTGTCTAATGTGTGGCCCGAGACAACTCTTCTTCCATAGTGTGTCAGAGAAGCCAAACCTTTGGGCACCTCCTAAGTGTCCTCACTCATGAATTTATAAAAATGAGCCAAAAATAATATATCCATTTGAGAAAAGTTCTTTAGAGATGTAAGTTTTTTTTAAAAAAAAAAAATGTGTATACAAACAGAGAGGAATAAACGAGAAATTGTGGAATATCGTGTTGAGATTACATTATGCAGCAATGAAAACAAGTAGCATCAAGAACATGTAACCGCTCTGTGTAATAGTGAGAAGCAGCAGGAGGTAAAGGTGACCAGGAGGGAGTCCAGCTGATCCCCTGTGCCTGATGTATTCCTGGAGAGTTAGGAGCAGACTGTATTTTATAAAGCAAATGCTATCAGTTGATGTTACCTGCTGTCATTGCTGCACCTTTACCAGATAGAAACTTCTAACACTAGCTCTACATTTAAATGGGAATTGCTTCTTCTACAACTTTAAGGTAGGTATGAAAGTAAAATCCTTCTGTTGAGTAAACAAATATTCAAAAAAGAATATTCTCCCTTCCAATGATTTTTTTTTTAAATCAGCATCTTATATAATTCAATCTGTCTTTCTCAAAGTAGGATGAACTACTTAGGATATTCAGTCCACCTCCTAATCCTGGGTTACCTTCCTTTAATTTCCTTCCATAGATTTCCAAGATTATCATATCTCACTCCCCTGGCCAGGAGGAGAGGGGCTGCTGGCCACCTATACCCACTCAGACCTCAGTTCTCTCCGCCCTTTCAAAGAGGATGCAGAAAAGCTTTCTTGGGGATAATGAGTACCTTCTGCTCTTGGGAGATTAACTTTTACTTTTTCATATAAAGGCAAAAAAGGGAAAATTTGGCTCATTTATCTTTCTTTATCTGAGAGATCTGCAGACTTGTAATTGTGTTCAAGTTTTATGATCCATGGACATTCTTTTAATCTAACTGTTAAAAAGGATGGTTTGAATTGCAGTTCTTACACCTCAATCATGGACATACAGGCATTGTACCTCTTCCCGTTTCCCGACCCCTTTCTGGGAAAGAGCAGGTCCATGCCTTTGAGTCACCTTGATTTTCTCACCCCATCCCCTCCTGATTCTTCTACTACTCATGTTTGTCTCTGATCTGAGCAAACTCATTTCCAAAGCTAAAGAAGTTCACAATAATATCTGAACTGTTGAATTGCTTTAAAATCAGAAGACAAAAATTAAATATAATTCCATTTAGATTGTAGTCATTTTTATACCAACACTGTTGTGAAGTATGATTTCATATATATATACATATATATATATATATTTGAGAGTCTCACTATGTCGCCCTCAGTAGAGTGCTCTGGCATCACAGCTCACAGCAGCCTCAAACTCTTGGGCTTAAGCAATTCTCTTGCCTCGGCCTCCCAAGTAGTTAGGAGTACAGGCACCCACCACAATGCCCAGGTATTGTTTTGTTGTAGTTGTCATTGTTGTTTAGCAGACCCGGCCTAGCTCGAACCCGCCAGCCTTGGCATTGTGGCTGGCGCCCTACTCACTGAGCTACGGGCGCTGAGCCAATTTTCAATATTTTTTAGTGGAGGAAGGGGCCCACGATGGCAAAGATGCATAAGGTGCATACAAGTTGGAGAGGACTCCACCTGGCCCTGGAGCTTCCCTTATAATTCATGAGTTTAGCTGTGTTTCTTATATTGGGGTAGGTAAGACCTGAGGTCATGACTCTCTGTTTTGGTTGCAGAATGTAGGACAAACCTTCATTCCCACCTTGCTGACTGACTTTGTGTGGACTCTCCTGATGAAACTTTTTAACGAGGAATACAAAATTGCAGCTGAGGCAGCATCCTTATTGCAATTGACTCTGGAATACCACTCCCAGAGGATCACCGTGGTAAGACACATGACAATGAGCAGGGGAGCATGGGGCTTACTCTCTCGAGTGCACTTATTACCTGTGTTATAGGCCTACTTCTTCTGCGTATTTCTTGCCATTGTTCATTCCATCACTTCAATAAATGAGGGATTTGGCTGTGAAATATTTCAAACGCACAGAAAATTTTAGAGAATCACAGAATAAATAGCACAGTATTTTGCTACATGTGCTTTCCATTTTTAAAATAAATACATTAATAGTAAAATAGTGCAATTAAAATTAAAACCCCTTGTATCCCTCTTAAGGAAGGTTTTCAAGGATCCTCAGCTAATCCACTACCGGATTTGTGGGGCCCTGTGCAAAATGAAACACAGGCTTTCCTTTTGCAACATAGAAAACAAAATTCCTTTAAATAAAATTGTTTTCTTTTTCTCCATAGTTTCTCTCTCTTTCTATCCTCATGGTGTTTTTATTTGCTATATACTGTCTTACTAAGTAAAAAGAACAAGCAAAATGTTAAATTATTAGCACAAATTTTACTATTATATTGTAATATCATACAATATTTATATTGTGCAATGCTAGTCCTAAATGTAAATATAAGAGCCCTGAACTCATACGAAGAATCATCAAAATAATGCAAATTGCATCTTGTAGCTCATACATTGAGGATGCATTTCATTCTTACCAAAAGAGTGGGGACACTGCACAGAACTAATTCAACCACTGTCATCTCATTTTTTGTTATTTACATATCCTACTAACGTTCTCCACCTTTAGCTTATGGATACGTAAGGAAAGATAAAAAGAAAAAGGATTTCCGAGTTACCCTATCTTTCTCTTTCCTTCTACGTCATCCCTTCTGGACTACATGGTTGCAGTTTCAATAAGATGCTTATCTTATGTTCAATTAGTTTTCCCACTGAACTCACCCACATCATGTATCCACTGGAATTCTATGTACAAGGAGTACATTGAACACTACCTGGAAATGGGGCTGGAAGAAAACTTATAGCCCCCATATATGGCAAGTACTCCTCTGCTCTATTGTCCTCATGGGACTTAACTTAAAAAACAGAAGACCACAGGTAAAAGTAATAAAAATTTAAAGTTGGCAACAGCAGAGCTTTAAACAAAGTGGAAGACCTTCTGAGCAGAGCTTTAAACAAAGTAGGGAGACCTCCCTTCAAAGTGGGGAGTCCTGTGCAAAGGCATAGGTCACAGGCCAATGATGGCAACATGAGGGCCAAACTCCCAGTTTCCTCTCCTGATGTACCAGTGTAAGGGGACTGAAAATAGCTGAGATTTTTGCTCATCTTTAGACAGTAAGGACAGGGAAGTGAGGCACGTATAGAGCGCCCAGTGCTGTGGCCCACTGTTGTACCATTAGAGGATCTCAGGTGTGCCAAGAAATTTTTTAAAGATAATTAGTTAAATTATTTTGGAAAGAACTTCAAAGCACAGTAAGTGTACATATCAAAATTAAAACCTCTTTAAATTAATTATGCAAGTATATCATACTTATAATAGATAAACCTTGTATTGGCATAATAAATAAACATTGGCTTATTTCTACAGTGGGTGGGGTGTGAGCCTTGAAAAATAAAGTTTTGCAACATGTCCAAAGATGGCACGATTTGACAAGGAGTTGCCAATGAACACGGATATATGTTGCCATCTTCCTGTTGAAATAATCAGAAGTGAATGAAGCCACGTAACTCAGCAATCCCTTGATGTGCATGAAATAGGAGGTGTAGTTCCTGAGGAATGTGCCATATAGTTCTATCTACATTTGAAGCAGTGAAGTAACTGGACACAATTACCTTGCAAGTCCTAGTTTTGAAAATATTCTAAGCGTATTTAATTAATACCTGTATTTCTTTTTTTAAAGTATGAGTTGTTTATTTACTTATTTTTATGATTTTTAACTTGACATTTTTTATTTTTGTTACCATTCAATTAAAAGGAATGAGAAAATCAGAAAACGATGCTAGTGTGTCAAATATTGCTCCATCGAGTACATGGGCAACTAAATAAAAAACAGTTATCAACATAATGAAGACTATTTATTATTCAGTTTCATATGAAGTAAAGGAAATCCACCACATTCCATATGTGTAAATTGTGGCAAAATATTAGCAAATGAAGCTGTGGTTCTTAGCAAATCAAAGAGACATTTACAAACCAGACATTTGCACTTGTCTGAAAAGCTGGTGGAATATTTCAAAGGACTTGTACTCAGTAATACTAAACAAGCAAAAATATGGACCAAATATGCAATGATGTCAGAGAAAGCACAAGAAATGAGTTACACAGTTGCAGAAACCATAGCAAGGAAAATGAAATCTCATACAATTGCAGAATCTGTTATTAAATTGGTCTGCTGTGCAATTGTAAAAACAATGTTTGGAGAAGAACAAAAAAAGAAAATTTTAAAAATTCTGCTTTCAGATAATATAATTTCTGGCATGTTGAGAATTTATCTGAAAATGTAGAATTTAAAGTAGTACCTCACCTCGAAGAAGTAAACATGTTTGCAATTCCGATGGATGAACCCAGAATCATTGGTAAAAACCCCCAACTTTAAGCGTTCAGTAGATTGTCTATAAAGAAGAAATCATAGAATAGCTTTTGCCAACCACTTCAAACAACAACAAAAGGCCAAGATATATTTGATTTGATAGATAATTACTTTAATTCTAATAACTTGTCTTGGGATTCCTGCATAAGTATTTGTATGGATGGAGTCTTGTCTATGTCTGGAGGCATAAAAGGATTTTTTATACTTATGAAAAAAGGAATCCAAAAATGATTTGTACACACTCTTTTTCACACAGAGAAGTGAGTGCTAGTATCAAAGTCATTAGTGCCTAAAGTACAAAAGTTCCTAGAAAACACTATTAAAGTTATTAATTATATAAAAAGCAGGCCATTGCTATCAAGATTATTTGCACAATTATGGTCCTCAATGGATGCTTCTCATACATATCTTTTAGTGCATATGAAAGTGAGATGGTTATCTCAAGGAAGAATTCTATCAAGATTTTATGAATTGAAAGAAGTATCAACCTTTTCAATACAACATTCTAAATAACTGATTTACTTTGTGATAAGATGTATTGTAATAAAGTTGTATTTCTTAAAGATTTATTTCAGTGTTTGAATACTCTTATATTCAGGGAAAACATGAAAATATTCTCACATCTATAGATAAAATTAATGCTTTCAGAAAAAAATTACTGCTCTAGAAGGAAGGGATTAAAAGAGAAAATCCAGGAGAAATATTAGAACTAGTGAAAAGGTGTAAACTGGATAAAAATCTTACCGAATAAATTTTACTGACTAGATTTACTGTACGCCAATTTTGAAAAGTTATTTTCCTGCACTTACACTTGACATAACATCTCTGGATTGGATAAGAAATCCTTTTGCTTTAAGTGTGTGTACATCTGCAAATTTAAATATTATAGAGAGGAAGAGTTCACAGAAATAAGAAATGACAGAGGATTGCAATTAAAATATTCAACAACAGATATTACAACCTTTTGGTTATCTCTCAAGGGTGAATTTCCTAACATTACAAAAAAGTGAGTAGAAATACTCTTTCTGTTCCCAACATCATATTTGTGCGAAGTGAGATTTTCTGCAGTGAACAATACTAAAAGCAAATGTCAATCATGGCTAGAATACTTGAAAGAAGATTTAAAAATGTGCCTCTCAAAGATACTTGGAGAGAGGGCAGGGGAAACACTTGAAGAAATTGGTCTGGGAGACTATTTTATGAGGAGGACTCCCCAGGCAATTGAAGTAGCACCAAAAATACATTACTGAGATCTGATCAAAACTAAAAAGCTTCTGCACAGCCAAGAACACACTAAGTAAAGCAAGCAGACAACCCTCAGAATGGAAGAAGATATTTGAAGGTTATGTTTCTCACAAAGGTTTGATAACTAGAATCCACAGACAACTCAGACTAATTAATAAGAAAAAAATAAATGATCTCATTTCATTGTGGGCAAGAGACTTGAACAGAAGCTTCTCTGAAGAAGACAGGCACACGGCCTACAGACACATGAAAAAATGCTCATCATCTTTAATCATCAAAGAAATGCAAATCAAACTCACTTTGAGATATTGTCTAACTCCAGTAAGAGCAGCCCACATAACAATATCCCAGATATTGGCATGGATGTGGAGAAAAGGGAACACTCCTGTACTGCTGGTGAGAATACAAGCTAATCCATTCATTTTGGAAAGAAGTTTGGAGAACACTTAGGGAACTAAAAGTAGACCTGCCACTCAATCCTGCAATTCCTCTGCTAAGTATACATCCAGAAGACCAAAAATCATTTTACAACAAAGATATTTGCACCAAAATGTTTATTGCAGCCCAATTCATTATTATCAAGTCATGAAGAAACCCAAGTGCCCATTGACCCATGAATGGATTAATAAGTTGTGGTATATGTATACCATGAAGTATTATGCAGCCTTAAAAAATGGAGACTTTATCTCTTTTATGTTTACATGGATAGAGTAAGAACATATTGTTCTTAGAAAAGTATCTCAAGAATGGAAGAAAAATTATCCAATGTACTCAGTACTATTATGAAACCAACATATAATCACCCACACTTTCATACAAAAGTTAAAACACAACTATAGCCCAGGATGAAGGAGGGCAGAGGAAGGGGAGAGGGGAGGCTGAGTGGAGGGAGGGTAATTGGTGGGACCTCACCTATGGTGCATATTGCAAGGGTACATATCAATCTATTAAGAGTAGAGCATAAATGTCTTAACACAATAAGTAAGTGAGGTAAAGGCTAAGTTAACCAGTTTGATGTAAACATTCCAAATAGTATATAAAATCAGTACACTGAATCCCATAAATGCTTTAATGTACACAGTTATGAGTTAATAAAAAAAAATTTTTAAGAAAAAAAAAGAATATGTCTCTCCAAAATTCTACCTTGTGGAGTGGGGGATGGGTAGGAACAGGATGGAGAACTAGAAACATC